CAATTAAAAAAGAAATTTTAGCTATTGTCCCGTGTATCTCAAAATTCCAGAATGATATACTAAATCAAAATTTTTTAGTAAGAGTAGACTGCAAATCAGTAAAATATGTTTTAGAAAAATATGTACAAAACATTGCTAGTAAGCAAATTTTTGCCAGATAACAATCTATTTTAAGTATTTTCGATTTTGATATTGAATATATTAAAAACAGTAATAACTACATTCCTGATTTCTTAACCCGTGAATTTCTGCAGGAATCTCATGGCAGATAGGAAAAACAATAACCCTGGTACCTCTTCCAAAGTCGGGAGGGATACAGGAAAAATTAAACTTAGTCAGATATTTGCCCAAAAAAAGGCAAACTTGGATAAATAGTTAGTCTTGCCAAGCCCACTAGTCTTGCAAAACCCAAAACCTTTATCTTGGTAATTCTAATCCAACACAGCCAATAGCCAAATCTACCACAGTACCACCTAGCACTTTCCTCTAAATGGCCCAACAGGCCCCAAGACTTGTTGTACCAGTCCAGCCTGACACTTCTAGCCAACTTGTAAACTCATATTCTCAACACCAACCATATTTTGTCCCTAAAGACCCAATGGTTGACTACATCAAAGCTTATACTCAAAATGTATTTGCTATTGAACCAATTCATGCTCATTTAAGCAATCCAATGGACTTAGTCAAGGCTTACCTTGAGCCCGAATGGACCTTTTATTCCATCTGATCCTTAAAAGACCTTTTAGTTTTATCAGGATATACTATTCTATACTCAGTCTATTTTTGTCAAGCTCATACCTGATAAAAATAATTCGAGTAAAATTATTTATCATTCTTTAAATATTTTAAAAATTATATCTCTCAAAGATTGGGGATTCCATCCTTCTTCACTCTGGGATTTACCTTATTATAAGAGAAAATTTAATTACTATGATTATAAAGAGTCATGATATAAGATTATCCTCTACCAGAATGATACTTTCGATCATTCCTGGTTCTTACAGTTCTATAAAGATTTCAAGAGCCAGATTTCTTCTTGGTTCACATAGTGGTGGTTTATTCATGGCCCCATTCATAAAATATTTTCAGCTGAACTTCTAGATTAAATTATAGCCTTCTCTTCTGTTTTTAAACCTAATAAACATGAGAGTCAGTTTTCTATTTATCTAACATTTATTTGCAGGTACAAAGTCTCATGGATATGTAAATGGAAATGAAAAATTATTGGTTATAAAATGTCGCCAGACAATTCTATGTCAAATGGTGGCCTAGGTTCCAGCAAGAACCAATAGTTGACTGTGTCAGACAGGAGTTCCCAGTCAAGGTTCCAACCCCAATAGCGGTTTCAGCAACCTTAACCCCTGCAACTCCAGTTAAGCAGGTCATGCTTTCTTTTAGGATTTCTACTCCAGAAGAGCTCAAGAAATCCACTACAAAAGAGCCCAAGCAGAAGAAGTCCTCCTCTAAGGACTCCAGCAAGCAATCCAAGAAGAAGTCTACTGCCCTCGTTGAGCTAGCATAGAAGCTTCTTCAACAAGTTGCTAGTGAAAACAGTTCCTCTGCATCCTCACAGGCATCAGTCACCCCTACATTGGATCCCTTCCAAGACAGTTAGGATCCATATGCATGATATGATGATTTGGTAGATATATCTACCTCATAATGATGCTTATCTATATGTGTGATAGCTTCAATCACTACTTTCTTCATTAAAGAAAGAAAAGCTGTCTATTACATATATCGATAAAGAATCATTTTGCACCTGACTCTTTCTCCTAGTAAAGCAGCCATCAGCCAATTGTCAAATCTGTTTTTCATCGAAAGTAGATTCCTTCAGACAAACAGCAGGACCCACCAGCACCAGAAAGTCAGCATTTACCCTGGTTAAAGCAATTCACTTCCACTTTCACATCGAAAGGCTAAAGTGAAATACTTTACCCAAAGTAAAAGCAGTTACAGAAGACAACGGAGTAATCATTTCAAAGATTCCTTCAAAAATCCTTACCTCTCTATATAAAGACTTCAGTCTTCACGTTCTAAGCAAGCTTTTAGCTCCCATAAGCATTTGGCTTTAGGAAGCTTTGTCATCCAAGAGCTCTCATAAGTCTTCACTAAACACAAAGCTCACTATCCCTATATTGTTAGAAGCCTTAATAATGATGCAAATGAAGAGCCTCTCACTACTATCCCATTACATCCACTAGCCCACTAGTGTTAGTGTTGTTATTTTTTCTTATTTCTGTTATTGTAATTTGTATCTTGTTCTTATAAACAAGAATTTTTAAAGAATTTTTAAATTATCACTCTTATATCTACAGTTTGTGATTATTCTCATGTCTGTTATTATTCTGCACTCCTTCTTATTTTGGTATCAGAGCCATTTGACGGCCTGAATAGCCACCCATGCAGTTATATTTGAATTATCTTACTCGTGTTAAATCTCTTCTATTTCAATTTAGTAAATTAATGTTTAAGTTTGATTCCATTGTACATACCCCCTAACATACATGCTCTCATGATATGTCTCTTGACTCCCTATACTACTTACACAAGGACTTACAAATGGGACATAAATGAGACTCTCTCTCTTGAGCTGACAAATGCTAGGTGACAAGGGTAGACCAAACTCAATATATATATAGTCTTCTAATGGACTTAGGATTCCTATGTTCAATCCAAAACAAATATCTTACAGTCCATTAATAATAAGTCAATCTGCTAAAAATTTATTATTAATCTTCTGAGTCTTATCTCAAAATTATGTTTTGAGCTCCTTCTTATTGTATGTTTAATAATCTCTCCATGTTTATGATTATAGATGTCTATTAATCAAATAAATTACTGATAATTATATTTAATTGACTTCTTTTATTCCTTAAGACCTTACCATCTAACTTATTTGTCATGTAGGATAATTAAATTCACCTACAGGATTTGACATAGACAAAACTTGTGAGTTTTTTTAAAAGGACATCATCAACCCATTTAAATATTAGAACGTGGTTTCTTTTAATAATTAATTTTTACCATACAAATAATATTGTCTTCCAATTCACCGAACTTGTTGACTCAATATGAATCTCACTCTTTGATAAATTAAAGTGACAATCATTATATGCACGTGACAATTAAATATCTCAAGATTAAGAGTATAAGCAATCATAATAATCATGAGATATTTATTATCTTACTCAGTCAGTAAAAGATAATAGCTTTAAGATGGATCTGTTCAATATACAAAGTATACTAGTGCAATAATCTGATACATCAAACAGTCTCCTATAATCAAGATAGACTATGCCAAAAAATTGTATTATAATCATACTGATGGTGTGTCAAATTCCATCTAAAATTATGAACTTATATTTATATTATACAAGGATTCGATAATCTAGTCTTGTGTGCATAAGCCGAACTCTACACATCAGATTATGTACAATGTAAAATATAAAACATGCATATCATATATCAAATATAATATAAATATTTTGTCAACATAAATTCTCAATAAAATAATAAAATCAACTATAACAAAAAGCATTTTTTGCAACTATTTTTTTCGTCGCGTATTCGTCGTAATAACCTTGTTATAAAAAGTATTTTACGACACAATTTTATTTTCTTAGTAAATAAAAAAAATTTTAAGACGAAAGAAAAACATTGCTAAAATTAAAAAAAAGCGTAGCTAAAATCTGTTCCACCGTTGTGAAAAAATAAAAAATAATACTTTACTTAATTTTTTACGATGCACAAAAATCATCGCAAATAAATTTTTACATAAATAAAAAAAAAAAAGAAAACATATTTGCAACGTAAAAATAAACCTCGCAAAAAATTTGTGACTCTTAAGAAATGTCCCAGAAAAAAGGGTCATACAATATTTCGCGACAATTTTAATTTCATCGCAAAAAAAGTTAATTTTTTTTAAAATAGCTCTTCATTAAAAACAGTATTCCAATAAAAATATTCACTTGTACACCACTAATACTTTTGTTCAATAAAAAACTAACACAATTAATACATTTCACATGTTTTTCATTCAACAACAAACATAAACTAACAAAAAATATCATACGAACAAAAACACAAAATAGAATATGCTTAATAAAAGTTATACAAGTCATCAAAATATCTAACAATTTAATCTACATACAAGTTTCCCAAAATATTTAAATACATAACAAAGTTAATTCGTGAGCCACTTTGATGCAGAAATCTAGAATTCATCTGTTACAAAATAGAAAAAAATACATTAACAAATTATAAATCAAAATTTTCAAAAACATACTGCCCTGCACTGAAAGAGCTTCGGTCATTTGCACCACTCAGGTGAGTGAGATCAAAGCCTTCACCAGCCCAGCAATAATACGTATCAGCTGACCTAGAAGATATCAGGTGTTTACGTGATCTCAAGATTTTATTAGAAAGAGGCAAAATAGGGAGTTCAAACTCGCTAGTGCATTAGCCAAAGAGAGTTCAAACACATAATTTATTAGCAAGAGGCAAAAAAGTAAGACAAAACCAAGAGAAAACAAAGAAAAAAATGCAGCATTGCCACCCAACAAACTTTATCAAACCACACCCAAAGCTCAGTCTAAATAAAAATAAACCAATAACACATTTTCGTAGGAAGCATTCAGATTATTACAAGCTTCTTGGCATAGTAACATCAAATTTGTTGTTGAAACTTAGCTTTTCAAACCAGCCTTTGTATCTCTAAAATCCCCAATAAACTTATGTCAGACAAATAATTCAATTTCTTATGCCAAATAAACCTAAAAAACTCCAAGAAAATCCGTAAGCGCACACACATCAAAAAAAGTATCATCTCGAAATCTACTAGTTCAATACTTAATAAATTATATGCTACTTGGATTGAGTTGTTAAAGCAAAGATTTGAGCTCAAGATTGATAAAGATTCAAAAAACAACAAACAGGAACAGAACTACGCATTCTTACAAACTAAAATATTAAGTCAAGAAGCCCATCATCTGGAAGAATCACATTAAACAAGAGAGTGACCATTTGTTGGCTCCATGAGCCAGTTCAACCTTGTGCCTCATCGTTCCAAATGGACCTCTGGTCTTAGACCCAACATCAAAAGTACTAGCAGAGTGCCACGCGAGACGGAGCATTAGAGGAGTACAGTTCTTTTCAGTGATGAAGCCTCTTAGCTTCTTCTTGCATTTCTCAACAGCCTTCTTGTACTCCTCGCTCACAATTGGGTAGTACTTCCCCATAGTAGCGGTTCTTTGAAACAGAGTGAGGGTAGAGAAAGAGTAAAGACCCTAGTGGCAGAGTGGCACGAGCAGAGCACAGGCAGTGTCAAACAACGTGGAATTTACATTAAGTTTCATGCGGAAGAAACTCAAACATACCATTAACATTTTCATCTATCTAATTAACACGAAATTCTCAAGACATAAAACAAATTGCACATTTTGCTCAAAGAAATTGCAAAGGCCTAAAACAAATTGCACAAACCACAAATCTAAGAAGTATTAAGTAGTTCTATCGATCTCAAGGTAGCGACTCTTCTCGGTAGAACTCAATGCAGCACAGTAGAAATCGAGATATATATATATATATATATATATATATATATATATATATATATATATATATATATATATAGAGAGAGAGAGAGAGAGAGAGAGAGAGAGAGAGATGGAGATGGAGATGGCGAGGAGGTGTAGAGAGAGAGAGGGGCAGTGAGAAGTGAATTTGGGAAATGGGAGTGGTGAAGAAGAAGGAGTTGCTAGCTAGGGCCAAATCAACAAATGGGTCTGAATTTTTTAAATACTCAAAACGACATCGTTTTAGATAAAAATAATTTTTTTATAGGGCCAAAAAACGATGTCGTTTTGGTTGAAAAAATATATTCTGCAACAAAAAATAAAACGTCGGAATTAATATTTTAATTTTGATTTAAAATTACAAAATTTAAATTCTATGATGAATATAAAAATTTTGCAAAATAATATTTTTATTTAATACAAAAATTAAATTTATATTTTGCGATGAACTTAGAAAAACGTCGCTAAAAAATATTATTAAAATAAATATTCTTGACAAACTTATAAAAATCGCCGTGACTTAATATTTTTATTTTATTTTTACTTTAACGACTAAAATTTATATTGTACGATGAAAAACTTAAATGTCGTGAATTAAATATTTTGACTTTATTTTAATTTTAATTTTAGATTATTTATTTTTACGACGAGTTAAAACTATCTGCTACAAAAATTTGTGTCTTAAAAAATTATCAATTCTCGCCATTTCTCGCGCCAACAAAAATCGGGAGAGAATCACCTTTTCGTGATGCACTTGAAAAAATTTCGCAAAAAAATTGCCAAAAAAGAAATTTGCAACTAAATTATAAAATCGTCGCAGATAGTACACTGTTTGCGACGAATTTTAATTCGTCGCAAAAAAAGATTTTTGTTGTAGTAAAATTTCTATTAATTAATAAAACATGTTTCATTGCAAAAAAAATAAGTTTTTAGTTTATAATCCTATCACCATCATTTGCCCCCATACCCGGAGTCCAATGGGATTTGGGGGAGAGGACATTAGTAATAATAAATTTTATTTTCTACCTTTTTACCCTTCCTTCTAGGTATTGACTGTGGTGACTTTCAATCATTCTCGTTCTCCATGCCTCCTTTTGCCACGCACGCTTTCACTCCACGTCGAGGTTATTTTTATTTTAGTTCCTTCCACTCAACTAGATTGGTGGGTATTCTGCTGGTAGAGTATAATCCTTGTTAGCTTGGCTTCATTCTCCTTTAGCAGTAGTAGATACTCAAGGCTTTAAATAGGAGCCCCCATACCCTTTTAGCAGCAGATACCTAGGGCTTTAAATAGGGCCATACATACCTTTTTAGTAGCAGGTTCTTGGGGCTTTAAATAGGATCCCCAAATACCTAGGCGAAAAAGAGAAAAATGCGATGTCGAGTGTGGGTGAGAGAGGAGTGTGTGGCACGGGAGGCGAGGAATAGAGAGCATTGATGGTAGGAGGCACGTGGGCACCAGGCACGCGAGGCGCAGATAGAGTTGCGCACTGGTGATTGTGGCAAAAACAATGTTACTCAAGAATCGTGGCAAAGTCGTTGTTGAGGACGATAGTTCCAAGGTGAGCACTATTTCTAGTACCATCAATTTTGATGTTGAGATTGCTAGGATTGTCTCCAGTTTTTGTATTCCCCTTATTACTGTGTTGTGTCATCAGGCTGAGATGGGTGAGCCGACATTTGATGACTCTTTTGAGGAAATTTCCTTCTATGAATAGTTGCTAGAGGTAGATTTGAGATTTTTAATTCCTATCCCTGTGTGTTGTGTCTTTGCACACTTGTCACTCATACCATGACGATTGACCATTAATGGTTGGAGAGTGTTATTGGCATTTCATGTACTGTGGCAATGGGTACAAATCTCGCTTTTCTTATTTTCATTCAGTTTTAGTGAGGGCCAACCAGCATGAGTAGATATCGAGGGCTCTGATAAGGGAGAGACAGACATAACAAGATGTAAAGGAGAAGTTGAGGGTGGCTAGCGAGAGAGTTATACCTCTTGAACAGGTAGAGTAGACCAAGCTTTTGGCGTCTGGCGAGAGAGAGGCTAAGATTGAGGTTGCTTGGATGAGAATTGAGGGAGGTAAGTCAAACTTTTGATGACTCACAAGAGAGCCGCTAAGTTGGAGCCTTGGACTGAGGTGTTTGCACAAGAATAGAGGTAGGGTAGGCTAAGCTTTTGGTGACTCGCGAGAGAACTACTAAGCTAGAGGTTGAAACTAAGGCTAGTTATGCGAGAACAGAGGCACAGTATGCCGAGCTTTTGGAGACTCATAAGAGAGCCACTAAGCTGGAGGCTGAGACTAAGGCTGTTTGCACGAGAGTAGAGGCATAGTAGGTTGAACTTTTGGCGATTTGTGAGAGAACTGTTAAGCTGGAGATTGAGAATGAGTCTGTCTGTGCGAGAGTAAAGGCAAAGTACCAAGTAGCTCATGAGAAGGCTATTAGAGTAGAGGCTCACTTCTAGTAGATAGAGAGGAGGAGAGAGGCTACAAAGAATACTGTCCATGTCTTGCGAGATAGTGTCGTGGGTGCTTTTATTGATAGCTATGAGGAGTTCAGAGGGAATGCTTCAACAACTTTTCCTAGCACAGACTTCTCGGGATTTGTCCACATGTGAGGAGTCGGGGCACAGGTGGTGATGATGATGGCGAGGATTCTGATGAGAGTTGGTTAGGTAGCAGCGAGGAGGGCGACGACAACAAAGGTAGCTAAAGTGCTAAGGATGTTTAATAGATTTTGCCCTTTTTTTTAGGTAGTGTCCGACTGTGCTTTAACTTTTGTAGGAATGACATTTGTTCCCAAACTATTTGTGAAATAAAAATTAGAATTGTTTTTGTGATGAATCTACAAAGCTTTATTCATGGGGGCTCTTTTCTCTTCCCCTCTCCACGTGAGGACTTACCTCGCCCGGCTTTGGTGACGTTCTCAGCATTCATGTATTTTTGGGCTTTTAATAGTAATTCTAGCATGCTCTTTGGCAAGAAACTTCAAAACTTAAAACAAAAACCTGGATGAGCCCGAGCCTCCTATGAGGGCAATCATGGTGACTTTTTTATCTGCCTCTTTAATCAAGATAACCTTTTCATTAAAACGACTGAGGTAACTCCTTAAGTTTTAATCTCGGTCTTACTTGATGCTGAGTAGGTGGGTAGCATACTTCTAGTGTTAGCGTCCCTCTATAAAGTGGGAGACTGAGAATTTATTTAGTTCAGCAAAAGATTCAATGAAAATTGGTTTGACTCTGGTGAACTACTGGCACATAAATCCCTTAAGGGTGGTAGAAAAAATCTTGCACATAATTTCGTCTAGTATGTTATGCACCTACATGAGGGATTTTATAGATGTCAAGGTGGCCCAACGGGACTTTTGAGCAGTCAAATACTTTCACATTGGTATTTTAAACTTTGGGGGAGAGGGTAGTTGGCCACATCAGCTGCGAATGATGTGCCAATACACCTCACAAGGTAATCGACCATTTCCAAACCCTCTCGTCTTCATGGCGTTAAAAAGTCATCTAATTAGTTCTGCACTTCTTTGATTTTTTGTCCTAGCGATTGAGGATGCTCTCAGAAGGGTTGTTATAGTGGCTTTTTATGGTCCACATGTTGGTTTTCCCTTTCTTCTTCTTAAAACGAAGGGTCGCCAACATGGGAGGATGGAGCAGGCGCGTGGGGAGAAAGAGCTAGGGCGTCGTGGCGTTGAGGTGGGGCGCCTTGGTGCACCGGGCGAGACGCTTGGGGGCTGTTGGGGGCACGACTCCTCGAGGGTGCCTAACAAGTATTAATTGGAGGAATTGTTGGTTTTAATTTACCAATAACTGCATAGTCTCCAGTAATTATGGTTCAGCGATGGGGTTTGCCGGTGAGGGCAAGACCTCATCGCGACGTGGTTGATCATCATATTCTCTTTGTTGATTCATGAATCTAGTTGTAGTAGCCATAAGAAGTGAGAATACGATAGGGTGAAAATTATTCCATAGACGACGCCAAACTGATGATGCACAAAAGTATGTATGCAAAATCAATCAAGTATGTAATGGAGTATGTGACGGGGTATACTCAACATAGTTAAACACACAGATTAAGTGGTTCGGTCTGATTGACCTACTTTACAGGGGATGACTACGGTGACCGGAGAGTTTTATTACTTAAGGTGTATAAAATGTTGAAAGATGAATGATGCCCCCTATGTATAGGTGAGACTTACAATTTATAAGTAAGTAAAATTTCATAACTGCTTCGAGGGAGCCCCTGATCGAGATGTCATTCTCATAACGGGGAGCAGAGTGATTCCGTGAAGCAGACGACATTCTTGTATCAGGCGAGTTGATTTCGTGAAGCTGGCAATGTGCACCCTGATTACTGCGTTCCACAGATTCCCTTCCTAAGTTGGGGATCCCTCACGTGCATTAGTAATAGACTAGGTTTTTGAAGACGATATGTTTAGTCAACTGAAATTGTGACTAAATTTTTATTGGTTTGCATTTGTGATATAAGTCTAGTCTGTATCTGTGATCTGCTCCTGGTTTGAGCCAGGCCCATCACACACATATATAAAAGATGTTAAAACATCTTTATCGCATCCTTCAATCATTGTTATTGATGTTTGAATTCTATTATAGATGTGAAATTTGTTCTTTTTTGTTCCTAAGTAATAATGATTAATAAAAAATGTAACCCCAAAATTGAACTCTACTTTTGGTTAAATTTGATTTTGAGAAATGAATAATCTAATTTCAACCCGAATTGCATAATTTGAGCCCATCCAAAGTTAAAAACTTATTCATGGGTGTTTTAGTTGTTCGGGTTGAGTTGAGATTGGGTTAAAGGTTTTATAGTTTGGATTGAATAAGGAAAATGAGTTGACCCTTAGCCCGCCGCGCTCAAAGTAGCCGGTAAACTACTTGTTTTGGTTGACAATGTTTCCTCTAAAATTTTCAAATAGTCCCGCGTTTTTTCACAATCGTCTCTGCTGCTCCCTCCATTTTGCTCAATACAATATCCATCTCTGCTCTCTCTCTCTCTCTCTCTCACTCCCACAAACAAATCGGTTTTGTTCTCTCTAAATTTCTCTTGTTTGCTTCCCTAAGTAGCAGTACACAGACATGGGGAAGCAAAGCAAACCACGAAAATCAGAAAACATCGGCAAAGGAAAGGTCACTCCGGTCCAAATCGCATTCATCGTTGACCGATACCTCTCTGACAACAACTTCACGCAAACTCGATCCACTTTCCGTAATGAAGCCTCGGATCTCATCTCCAAATCCCCAGTTCAAGAGGTACCATCCCATACATAAGTATACATGCATATCTGTATTTATGAAAGAACATTTCGATTTTATTGTTAATTGGCTTCGTTCTAATCTAAAATCCATGATGGGTATGCAGGCGCCGAAGAGTTTGTTAAGTTTGGGGGCAATGTTGGATGAGTACATTTGTTTGAAGGAACATAAAGTATTTTTGGATCAAGAAAAGTGCCGATTGGAACACGAGAAATTTCGGGTCCAAAATCTGTTGCGAGGGATGCAAGATGTGATGAATCTTTACAATGTTGGTGAAATTGTTAATCCCCCTCCTACGGCTCTGTCATCAATGCCTAAAACGGCGGCTGTTGTTCCTCAGATTGACCAAGCTATTGTGTCTTCTGCAGGTGCCAATTTTTTTTTTTTTTTTGGCCTTGTTGTTTTGACCATCATTTTTATTGGATCAATTGGGTATTGTGGTCAATTATGCTAGACGCGTTGTGTTTATTACAGAATGTTTAGAATTCAGCATGGGTCAAATGAAAACTGAATCCACAACTTTTGATTACACCTGCACAGGCTTCAGACTAAATAGAGTTTGAAGTTTGAACGTTTCTACATTATATAAGTTATATAGTTTATTGTTTAATGTCATAACATGTCAGTTCCATACATCTTGTTGAAGACTATGCAAATTTAAAGCTTGAAATTTTTGGTTTTGTTATTGGGTTGTGTTTGAAATTTGAAGCTGAAACATTGAACATGATCTATAGATTGTGGTTTTGCTTGGTCCCAGGTTCAAGTGTTGGCAGTGCATTCAAATTTATCGATTCTTTGATGAGGATCAGTTTTTCAAATTCCGTGTTCTTGAAAAAAAAAAAAAAATTCTTTACTATGTAACTGAGCTTTTTCTATGCAGTGGTTAGCAGTATATTGAGTGGTTGCTGGTTAGTGATATATGAAATTAATGAAGTTGTAGGTTGTAGACGGCTTATTCTCATTTCCCTGCCATACCACTTTGTTGGAACTTGGAAGTGTTCAAATTAGGGCATACTTGTGGCGTGTAATTTAGACTATTAAAAGTATTCTTCCTCTTTCGTGATCCTGGATTGATTCAAGAGTCAACCTATTTGAATTGAGTTTTTTGGGATCAAATTTTAGAATATAATTATCTGAATCTATGGATTGAAGTTCTGTAGTACTTCTTTTCAGCAATTATCGAAAAGAAAAATCATTGAATTCTGCCTTTTGCATTTGGTGCTTTCAAAAGAATGCAAATAGAATTAAGCATGAACCAACTACAAAAATACAGAAAATGGCAATTTCAATAAACTTATAACATGATGCCCTTTTACTAGGTTTACCTATGTTCAGCACTCCAGTTGTGGTGTCAACATCCAGAGCCTCCAACACTAACACAGATACCCCAAATTTTTCTACTCCAATTACACATCATACTATTTCAGCAAGAAAAAGGGGCTTAAAAGATGTTTCAGATGCCGCTGTACCGGCAAAGAGGTCACGTTCTCGCAAATCCACAGGACAGTTGCCGGTCACAGGTATATTTTATTGAAGTTAGCTGCTTACATATGTCAGCTGATTTAAATTTTTGAAGTGTTGTTATATATGTCCATTTTCCTTGCAGGTTCTGTTCCACTACCAAGCAATGCAGCCAATACGCGAGAAACTGCTCTGCAGTTTTCTGCAGTTCAGTCATCTCCCAATGACAATGTCACTAATGGGTCACCAATTCAAGGATCCAGTGTAGCCAAGTGTTTGTTCAATCAGTCTACTAAATCATTTCCTACTAATTCATCCGGTCCTAAAACACCTCCACGAGCAACTTCCTCTCAAGCTGAAAAATCTGTTTCCCCAGTGGAAATTTCTTCTACTGCTACTTCCAGCAAAGATGTTACTCCCCAACTAGTCGCATCCACCAATTACATGGTAATCTCTTCAGAGACCATTAAAGTGAGCCCTGTCAAGCACATATCATGCTATACAATAGAGAAAAATCATTGCATTTCTACTTCTTCGCCAGTAAAGACAACCTTCAAGAGGCTCAGCAAGAGGGATAATGTAAAAGGAAGGCTAGATTTTGATGTTCCTGACATGCCAATGAACTCAGAGAAACCACTATCTGATGGCATATCAGTTTCTGAGTCTGACAAGGAAGCAGATGTGTTTGACATGGATTTGCCTAATTTAGATGCTTTGGGAGTGGATTTCTCCTTTTCTGACCTGTTGGTTGATTTTGATTTTGGTGGTGAGGGAATTAATTATTCTTTTGAGCAAGCCATGGATTCTTCTCCAGACTCCCTTACTGGGTATTTCCCTTCATCCTTTTGTCTGCTCTATGATCCAATTAGCATCATTATTCGCTTTGGTACCATCCAAATAATGTGTTACTCTTTGATACTGAATCTTAATCCTATGCATAATATACAGGTCACCAGACGTACTGGGGAATGATTCTATGGGTGCTAATAAGGTAATGTCAGAGTTTTCATCCACTGTAACTGAAATCCTTTCAGAGAAAGACATGAATGTACCAGGTAATGAAACTCATGTACTGGCTACCTTAGTAAATATTCATACTAACTGTTTGATATAAAATTCTAGACATATTTTTGTGTTTACTAATCAACAGGCCCAGATTCCATGACCTCTGTGAAGTCCATAACCAAATGTATAAAGATTTTAAGTCCAGGTAATCATTTCGCTTAATTCTTTTTGTTTCAATTGATTTACATTAAAATGAAGGGCATAGGATTATTGAAATGGTTTCCTTGATTTATCTGCAGTGAAGTATCACACAAGTCCTTCAAATCAGGAGAATTTGTTGACAAGAAACTGACTGGGTTAACATTACGGATGACATTCTACTCTGACATAGTACTAACACAGTACTCACCACCAAAGCTAAACTGACCTATCTGCCGGAACCAATGATGTTTCTTGTCTAAGACTGGACTAATTTCTCTAGGATTACCGTTAATCTCAGATGAATGTTCTGCTTAATATACCAACTGAATTTTTATGAGGATATGGCAAAGGACAGCTCTAAACATAATATATGCTCACTTGTCTTTTTGGAGTAATTTCTACTGTTCTTTTCTTTGGTGCCATTTAGTTGAATGTACATCAGCAAGTCAGGCAAATATTGTGGCACCAATTTTTTTCCTTGAAATTGTTCATAGAATGATGCTTTGTTCGTTATATGCAAGAACGTGCTTGAAGTCTAAAACAAAATCATGAAACAATCAGCATTTCCTTTGTTCCGGTTATTGAAATAGGCAGCTGGAATGTCTAGAATTTGGACTTCTTAAGCCAAGCACTTCTCCAGTTCCTCTACTTCATCTGGGCTTCCAAGGAAGATAGGGGTACGCTGATGAATCTGCCAAAGAAACAAAAGTATTTAGATTAGAGCTATTGTATGTGAATACTCCCTACATAGATATATTTCCTTTCCCTCCTTGGGTTTTCTTTTCCTCCCCCATCCCCCCCTCTCTCTTTCTTTTTGGGGAAAAAATAGTTACCTGCATTGGCTTGATATCAAGTATTCTCTGGTGACCATCAATTGCCTTCCCACCTGCTTGTTCTACCAAATAGCTCATTGGTGCACACTCATACAAGAGCCTAAGATTTCCATTCTTGCTGTTCTTGTTCTTGGGGTTCCCATAGATACCACCACACAACAACATTCTATGGATTTCACCTACAAGGCAGCCTATATAACGGCCGGAATATGGCTTGCCATTAGGGCCTGGCTTCCTCAGGTGGTCAAGGTACTTCTTCAGTTTATCATCCCACAAATCATAGTTTCCTTCATTGAAAGAGTAAATTTTCCCAGATTTTGGTATCGTAATATTTTCAAGGGTTAATACAAATTCTCCATATGCTGGATCCAATGTGAATGCATACACCCCTTTACCTAGTGAGAGTGTGAAGACTACTGAGCTTGAATACAGGCAATAGCCAGCAGCCAATAAGTTGCTGCCTGGTTGACAAACACTGATAATGCACTTCTCTTTGGCTTGGTCGAGCTGCTGTGCCAATTTCAGAAACCAGTAATTGCACGTGAGGGGATTCATTGAAGTATATAAATGTTTAATTTAGCAATTAGTGATTTAGCAAATTTGAAGAACGACATATTATGAAGCCTTTAGAGTAGTTGGTCGTTTTACAATTTTGAAGAATGGCATGTAAGTATGTTACGATGCTGTTTTCGCAGGCTTTGTTTAGGCGAGGCTATGAGAGAGAATTACCGTAGAATCATCATCAATGTCAAGAAGGCATTGCTGATCAGGACCATATATGCCGAATATAGATCCAGTGGTTAGGGCAGTGTCAATGTTGGCAGATCCATCAATGGGGTCAAACACAACAATGTAGTTCCCGGAGTAAGTCTCTTCAACTGCAACTGGTACATCTTCTTCCTCCGACGCTATAATTCCAGTCCGTCCACTGGATCTTAGGCAGTTGCAGAACAACTGCACATTATTATAATTTTAAAAAGTCGATCAATACATGAGACTCTTGTTACTGTAATTCTGTCAAGGATGGTTAGATGTTCAATAAAAACAACCTCATTGGATATAACATCAAGTTTCTTCTGATCCTCGCCTTGAATGTTAACGGTGCCCTGAGCCCCTGTGACGTTGATAATGGCAGACCTTTGGAGCAGCGAAGCGATCTGCTTACAAGCCAAAGAGATGCTGGAGAGCACAATGGTAAGCTCAGAGTCTATGTGACCAGCCTGTTCTTGTTTCAACAACCATGTTGTCAAGTTTTCCATTTCATATCTATTCTTCTTCTTCGTTTTGGCCACTGCCGGTGTAGCTTCCGACCCCACTGCTTGACAGCGGACTCCGGTGGGGGAATTGCCGGCGACTGTTTGTCTTTTGTGGGTTTGTGAGGGGCGGAGAAGGAGAGGAGAGAGACGAGAGATGGAAGGAGAGGTTGAGAAGAGGATGTTCCCAGGGAAAGTTGGAATTGCTTCAGCCATTCTCTCTCTCTGTGTGTGTGTGTGATTGAGTAGTATGGGGACCTGCTTATCTTCCCCAGTTTGACAATTGTGTGAACATGATTTGTTGCAATGAAATCAACGACTCACAGGGTAAGTATCTGCTTATGATGTTTAGCTTGAAATGGTAAGTATAAATCATCAATGATGCTGATTTATTTGACCTTTTTACTTTCTTGTTTTGGACTATTCTCCATACATGAGACGCCTTGATAGATGTCATTCAACATAATGGGACAAACATTGCGCAGTGGGTGAGAACTCCTATTTTCTCCTTGAGTTCGAGTTTTTGGTATTTATGATAGTTCATTGAGGTTAAATTTATTTTTTAGTGTTCAGATTATGCCGTGGGATTTTAATTTCGATCTTGACGTAAGTACGGTGACATCCTTCCTGACATGGCGGATATGTGATATGTGAAGTAACCCCTCTCTCTCTCTCTCTCTATATATATATACCCAAAAAAATATCATGGAGCAACAAATCAACAGTAGTAAAGACCGAAGTCACTATTCCTTAGAATAGTTTTAAGTGATAATAAAAATTAGTCATAAATTACACGTTTTAAATTTAAATCTCAGTAATTCTTTGCAACACTTCCTTGAATAATTTATTTCTCATAAATATCTTATTATAGACATGGTCATTAACTGGTCCAAAAAAAAATTAGTCGAGATACGTGTAAACTGATCCGAATGTATTTGAACATTAAATCAAAAAAAAAAAGACAGCAGCCACCTTCGATTTTTTATTTTTTTAATGGGTAATTATCATTTGATGCCTTTTATATATACACTTTCATTTAGCCCTTGAAGTTTTAATTGTGACAATTAAATTCTTAAATTTTTAATCGGGTTTTAATTCAATCACGTTATCTCCATATCTTAATTTGTCACTTCACAACAAAAAAACATCATGCGACCTTGTTATAAGGGTATATTTATTTAGTTAAAAATATTTCTCTTATGACGAACGAAGTTTAGAATTAACAAAAATTCATAAAATGAAGGAAGTGTACAGCTAACCACTTTTTTGTTCCTAGAGAGAGAGAGAGAGAGAATGGAATTCTTTTTGAAGTGCGAGACAAATGTTGATATGTCTTTTAATATCTCTCAAATTCTCGCTTAATATTTTATTTTATCTTAGACTCAAAAAAAAGAAAGTAATTTTTTTTAACCTATGCAAGAATTGATTAAAAGTTGGCTTACTATAACATTAGAACTTATAATTAATTCGATAATTATAATGAATTTGGTCCCAAATAAAATATCAATAACTAATCCAGTGACTGATTTCTGGTAATTTTTTTTTTTTGGGGGGGGGGGGGGGGGGGACTCACTTGTCTGTTCTAAGCATCAACCCATATGCGATCTTGGGTTGGTTTGGTTTTGATGAGGGCCAACCCAAGTCAAAATCATAATGAAAGGCCAAAGGCCCATAGCAAAGGGGATGAACAGTTGTCACAAGCCTATGCTGAGTTTCAAGTAGGTTTCCAAATTCCAAACCCACCCCCGGTCTAAAACTTGGTAAGGTAAGGCTTAAATTGCATCCAACACAGCTAAATGATGAGAAATAGCATGGCCAAGATTGGGTCATATCATATCCCAATATTCGAGATTGAACTTCTCCGTCTATCTAAAACCTAATGAGATCTGACAAGCCCAAATCCAAATTAGACTTAAGCCTAATTTATAAGTTGAGATCAAATCATTAAGAGACGAGTTTGACTTAGCTTATGACTTCAGTCCAATTCAAAATTTAAGAGTCTAATAAATGTCAATGCACGTGGGAGAGCAATCATTGAGATAGTCATTACTCCAAGATAATATTCATCCCCAATTGTAGCTATCTTATCCGATAAATTAATAACTTGACATTTACGTTACCATCTCAACAAAAACTCCATGCCTATAAATTGTAAACCCTCCTAAACATGAGAGTAGATTCACACACCTACACCTTGAGTGTGTTCTTGCTCTCTCTCTTTTACTACCTTGTACTCTTTCATTAATAGAGTTTTCTACTCATCGTTGTCGCCTTTAATGATTAAGTCACTCAAACCCAACTATCCAATCTTTATATCTTATTATTGATTACTTCGTTAATTGTTTTGCACTACACAGACTCAGCTAATTTGATTGTTCATAATCAATTTTATGCATCACTAATATCATTTTAATGTACTTAATTTAAAGACCTAATCTGGTGATTTAATTCATAACAATTATTGAATTAGATTTGAGTTTTATTCAATTTTGAAACTTAAAACTAATTTAGAATTAAGTCATTAGATAAATTCCTCAAATTAAATTCTTATAACATTACTCTTTCAAAAAAAAGAAACAAAGCTATAAAACAAGGAAACTAAGGAAATGAGTAAAAGTGGGGAAATTCATGAGACTTGTGTACCATGATAAGTTTATAAGTTTACTAACTACATACCGACGATTACTTTTGTCATATTGCGTACAAGAAAATCGTTAACTACCAGAAAGCTCTGACAAGAAAAATTATTTAAGGAATTGAAACCTAAATCTGACCCCACCATGTCCATGCTTCCTGCCTGAATAGGCCTACATGTCCTTGCCGTCTCCACTTTCGCAAATTTCTGACTTTTCTATTACGTTGAATTTCATCATATCAGAGTTGGACACGTGGAGTCAACCTGACCTTTAGATGTGAACTCCCAGAACAGACACCCTTGCACGTAGGCTGGTATTCCACTGACCCTTCAATTTCCAGTTCATAAGAGAAAAAAAAAATCCAAGTTTGTCGGGTGTTAAGGCTCAAAAAAATCAACGCAATATTTTTTTGCGTATCAGATTAATGTTGAACTATATATAAAGTCATCTCTTCACACAAAAGAGTAAATTTATGCACGATAACTCAAAATGATTGCCTTTTGTAAGATATTTGAACCCCTAACATCCTCTTTATGAAAAGTTTATTGGGTGATTGAGCTACCATTAAGCTAATATCTTGGAGTTAGACACGTTTTTCAGTAAAAATTTATATAATAAAATAGAGGTGTGTTTGAATTTTATTTCAGTCATATTTTCTTCCTCAAAACTATCACCGATCACTTACCTTATTCATCATCTCTTTGTTAGACTCAAACATCAAATCACATCACTCATTTCTATCACATATTTAATCATTTATATATTTTCTCCCTAAAAATATCACATCACTCATTTCTATCATATATTTAATCATTTAATATTTAATTAATTTGTAGTCAATATATTTTGTAAAAATTTAATATAGTGGGATCGATTTTTTGGACGCTTGAATTTTATATTTTGTCGTGCCTTCAGACACAAGTGGGATCGATTTTTTGGATCTTTGAATTTTATATTTTATCGTGCCTTCAGGCACGAGTTATGACTAATATGTAGATAAAAGATCTTGGTATTCTTAAATACAGTAACATTTAAAAGGTTATTATGGGCATGTTCTAATCACTGGCAATGACATTTAATCAAATGTGTTATAACGATTTAATTTAATTTTAGTTATGGGGATCTAAACCTAAATTGCTATGTGATAACACTTACGAAAAATGTTACATAATTCAAATGAAATTTAAAAACTTTAACTTAAATGGATATTATCCCTCGGATGAGTGAATTCTATTGAAAAAATTGAAGAAGACTCACTTATCTAAGGAAGAATATGCATTTATATTATAATTTTTTGAATTTTACTTACGATTTGTAAAATTAGTCAACACTTAAATCAAATGTGTTATAACGACTTTAATTTTGACCGACGGGACCTAATCCCTTGAAGTACAACCCATTTTAGCTGCAACACAATAATGGGGTTTACTAGTGAGATTTTAAGGTGTTTTCGAACTTAGTGTCTTGTGAATTAATGTTGAGGCATGGCTTTAGAGGATGAATGCAGCCATACATAGTCTGAAATATAATTTGATGGAGGCCAATTTGTCCATTGATATGGCATATCACCCATACCTTGGCTTCCATCTTGATGGAGCCAACACATTTTATCTTTTTATTTATTCTAGGTCGATTATTTTCCATAAATTCAAGAGGATTCATTATGTATTAGTGAGCGTCTTATTAATAGTGAATGATCTGTCCAAATAAATAAATAAATAAATATATATATATATATATATATATATATATATATATATATATATATATATATATATATATATATATATATATATATATATATATATTGTTTTAATCTTGGGAAATTTCCATGAATATAGCTAATTAACTTATACTTAAACGTTGATGAGTTAGCTTGAAGCCTTTTGGAGCTGAGATGGAGAGTCAAAACTAAAGAACAAAGAAAAGAATAAGACTATGGTGAGATGATTAGGGACGCTTCAAAGTGTTGGAAACTTCAACTTTGCAGACCTTCAAACACGTCTTTTACTTAAACCTCAACAAGAAAGCATCTATCATCTTCGACTTGATGCCTACGACTTCTTAAATTTTTTCAACACTTCGATCAATCTTTCACGTATACGTATTATACGGAGATGCGCTAATATGTGTCACGATAATTTTATTTGAACCTAATTTACTAATTTATATGTTAAATCACACTTGTATTTATAGTGGGTGTTGTTGGTTTAAAAACTGTTACAATCGGCAGAACGTCCGAATCGACAGATAATTTTTAGGTGATTGTTTGTGGATGAGTTCAATTTATTGTTTTAAGACTTCCTCGGATAAAATTTTAAAGCGAAAAGCACACAAAATAATGAATTAATAAAAGTGAATTCCTTTATTAATCTAATCGAATGAATTTCAGTTATAGAAAGACTGAATTAACAACATTTAATTATAGTACTAACAACCTAAAATTAACTTTAGTACTACTCCTAAATGCCTGATCGTGGGTTTTATGGAGCGTTTGAGTTGTTCCTCAACTCCTTATTGTTTGTCTTTTATAGTCATTCTCTTTGACCGTTTTTCTTTTCATCGATAGTTAATTGACTTGTAACTCTTAGACAATTACTTTCTTTTTTCAAACAAGGTGATGACTAATCATTTCTTGTATCTTCTTCTGATTCTAACACGTGGCAGTCTCTTAACTCGCTCGATTAAATGCATCAAATGTTGTTACAATTTTATATTTTAAGTTCAAACAATCATGCTTGTATTTAGTGGGTGATTTAACATAAAAAAAAAAAACCTATAGAGATTTGGATACAAAGATACCTTTCTACATGTGAGATCTTCTCCACACATTCCTATCCTTTTCCATCAACAATCTTACTTGTATTATGAATTCAATTAAATACTAAGCAAAATACGAGATGGAAAGAGACAAATGAACGGCAAAACTAACGCGTGGGCTCCATCAAGAATCGTCCAATAGACCAAGAAAAAAAAATGAAATGTGACTAAGAGCCAAGAGGCATCACCAAACATTTGTGAAACAACCAAACGCGTCCCATAATTTAGAGACTGCGTCAATTTTGGCGGAGGGAGGTCCATACTACAATACAAGACCACACCCCATCAAGCTGGTTAGGCAAACAAACACTATATTTAGCCACCTCATCATTACACCATTTCTGTCATAGCTCATCTCTCTTCGCCCTACTTATATATAAACAACACCCTCCATCCATTCTCTCACACAAACCCATTTGATCTTCTAAGCAAAACTTCTTCTCCAAATCCCCCAAAGAAGCCATTTATAGCAATCAACAAGAAAACCCAAAAATCTTGAAAAAACCAAACACATGGCTTCTTCAATGAGATTGTCATTGATTCTCTTCTTTGCTTGTTCTCTCTTCCTCCAAGGATCTCTAGGTATCTCTCTCCTTTCTTACGTGATGTTATACTTTCATATGAAGTTTGATAAGTTTTACGTTGGATGTTTGTATATGTGTATACATTTACAAACACATGTTCTTATGTTTGTTGATTGATTATGCGTGTAGAAATGGCTTGGCTTGGTAAATTTTAATGTATGTTTTTCTACATTAGGTGAGATTATATGCGAGGATTTGCCAACGGATGTCTGTGCATTTTCTATTGCATCGTCTGGAAAGAGGTGTTTGTTGGAGAATTATGCAACGAAAGACGGCAAGGTGGCGTACCAGTGCCGGACATCGGAGGTGGTTGTAGGGGGGATGGCTGAATACATTGAGACTGATGAATGTGTTAGTGCATGTGGGGTTGATAGGAACACTGTTGGAATATCATCTGATGCCTTGCTTGAGCCACAATTCACTGCCAAGCTTTGCTCCGCCGCTTGTTACCAGAACTGCCCCAACATTGTCCACCTTTACTTCAATTTGGCCGCCGGAGAGGGTAAGAACACATTACCATCAAACATATATATTTTGGTCTAATATTAAAGGGATATATAAAGTCAAATTCTCATGAACCCTAAACTCTTTTGGTTTTTTTTTGTTGAATGGTACTTGATTCTTGAAAGAAATTCAGGGTAGAATGTCTATTATGCCTCTAAAGCAACACCATTTTTCATTTATCCATACCCTTTCCAAAGTATATATGGAAAAACAAACGGTGTTTAAAAAATGATTATCGTTCAAAATCATTATGGTGTTGGAGGTGTCGTTTAAAAAATCAATAATACGAAACTTGTAATTTTTATACTTACAAAGTATTGTTTGCATTTTTTTTGTTTTAATGAAAAAGGGTAAGTTTGTCATAAGTTATATGAAATCTTGAATTCTTTAATTTCATGTAAGCAAATGCATCTAAAATAAAATTTGATTATTCAAAAATGGCGGGCCAATATCTTTTAAAATCACCCATTATAGGTATATTGAGAACACATGAGCCTTTGTGTTGTTGAAATGGTCATGGTGAATCTGCCAAAACACATGATGTGACATACGTTAATCAAATTGACTCAATCAAAACACAATTAATTTAGCAATGATATTAGACTAGTTTTTTAAGATTTTTTTTTTTGGTGGGTGGGTGGTCGTGCGCGCGCGCTCACAGTAAGTGTGATTTATTGGTTAAGTTTTCCCTAGACCATGAAGTTCCTTGAATAAAATTATATTTAGCATACAAGTTGGACCCGAAATATACTGTTTAGACGAAGTGAACAAGCAGTTATGGTAGTCCCCGTCATTTATACACCTTTCTTACAACTCTCTTTTCTTGAAGTTGAACCAAAGTATTGTCCTACCTCTCACAAAAGTGAACATGTAACTAATAGAATCACATTCTTCTAGGTCCTCCAGTTTATAAACCCTGTTTTATTTTATTCTAAGATAGCATTATAATATCATATTGTTCAAGAATGTCTTTTTGTATCATGTGCAGGAGTATTTTTGCCAGATCTATGTGAGAAACAGAGGACCAACCCTCACCGAGCCATGATCGAGCTCGTGAGCAGTGGTGCTGCCCCTGGTCCTGTTTCCAGTGAACCTGCAGATATCACTGCTGCTGCCCAGCCTGCCACTGCCCCTTCTTCTTTCTAATCAAGTTTTGTATCATCCGCAGAAGAATAATTTTCCTTCTAATCAAGTTTTGTATCATCCACAGAAGAATAATTTTCACTATACTATTGTAAAGCTTATGGGGAATTATTAGCAAAATGAGAGAGAGAGAGAGAGAGAGAGAGAGAGAGAGAGAGAGAGGAGTATAGTATGCTTTCATTGTTTTCCATTGGGTTTATTTATATACATCTTATTTAATGGAATGATATTCTATTGATCATTTTTACGACCAAGTCAATACATTATAGATTACCCGCCTCGAAGTAAAATGCATATATAAGTAAATTCCTCGTTAATATTAGGAGTGCAATTTAGGCGGGTCAACTCAAAAAAAGGCTTGGGTTGAGATTTTTAATACTTTGGTTTGTTTGGACCGAAAAACATCAATCCAAACTAAATTTGGGCAATACTCAGATTCAGGACTCGAATTACCGAGTTCAATCTGAATATATAAATCAGATTCAACCGATTATATATTCGAGCTAAACCCAAATATTATGGTTAAACATTGAGTCTAGTATACTTTTTTATGTTAATTTGGTTGTTTTGACTTTATGTTAAGAAAAGCGTACTTTGGTTTTTGTCTAATATGTTTTTTTATACTTTAAATACTATGATCTTTATGTTAAACATTTGATTGAAGTTACTAGTTGTTACTTCATGTAAATATTATGTAATATAAACCAGATTTAGAACAATAGGTTGATTTTGAATCCGAATTCTACCCTATTCCGCTCGAATTCAACTTGGACAATATTCGGGTTAAGTATCTTAGATTGAGGTCGAATTAGGGTTTGAATTATAGTTGAAGATTTTATACTTTAAAGTTGAATTAGGGTTAACTTGTGAACCCGCCTTACAAATTCATGAAGCACCCTTAGTCAATATATAAGAATCGTTGTACCATTAAAAAATAGAGAAAAATGTACTAGGTGGAATTTTGACCCCATATTCTAATCGCCATTATTCTAAGCATTGTCTGACCATAACACTCAAAGCTTGTCGAACCAACATAATTCAGTAATAATGGTTATATTTTCTCTTGCTATAACCAACCAATAATTTATCGAATTCGACTTTTCACTATATCTTCTGATTCTTTTGTCTACCGCTTCATGTGTGAGTAAGGGTTGTCCATACCAAAAAAGTGTTTAACCTTTTTTAATAGGGGGCTTAAATTTTAATATATATAAAAAATAAAATTTAATCAATTCGAATATGGCTTAAATTTTAATCGATTCAAATTTTATGTAAAAAAATTACTTGGAGTTTATATAGGGATAATTTTAATATTTTTGATAGATTTTTTTTTGTTAAAAATGGTGGTTTAACAGTAAGGGATGTCAATAGTTACCATAACAATAATAAAAAACTTACAATAATAGTAAAAATACTCCTAAATATAATAATTTTTTTTGTACCGAATAAAAATGATAAAAATAATTATCAAAATAGTGATAAAAATATTCACAAAAGTAATAAATTTTTTTATTATAAAATAACCCACAAAAATTATAAAAATATACTTTAAAATACTAAAAATTAGATTAATAATACGGAAGTTTTTTTTGACTGCATGGTAGTCATTTTTCTTGTTTCAACCTCTCCTTTTATTATTCTGAACACCCTTCTGGCTATGTAAATGGATACAAATCTCTTTTAATATATTTTTTTATAAGTTTTTTTTAATGTATTATTTTCCATACATATAAATAGGGCGGAGTCAAGAGGAGACCAAGCGGCACAGCCCACCCTGGATTATTTTAAAAATGGGTTCTTTAGAAGTCGGTATACCTAATTAGACTTATTTAGCAAAAAATACATAGAACAAAATGTTTTGAAAAAAAGTATACAGTTGAGTTACAAAGACATAAATGCTTATTTTAGGGTCATTTAATTTAAAATATTTTATCTTTAATGCAACTTGATTCATGTGTGTTTGTTAATACATATAAATATGTATTTAATTTAACTTAATTCATGTGTATTTGTTAATATATGTATATATATATATTTGTTATTAAATCTTTTATTTAAATTTTGAATTATTTTTAATCCACTTTGATTCATGCGTACTTTTTTTTGAAAAGTGATTTTGTTTTCAAATTATATTTAATACACCTTAATTCAAGTGTTTTTTTTTTTTTGGGAAAATAGTTTTATTTTTAAATTAATTTAATATCTGAATAATGTAATAGTATAACAAAAACAGTGTTTAGTAGTTTTGTATATATGATAACAAATTTAAAACAGAGATGAACTATTTTGAATGAAATTATATTAAACTATATATTTAACAAAATGTAATAGTACAATATTTTGTGTAAATAGTTTGTTACACTGTTATTGTTATACTGTTACATTGTTAGTGTTACACTGCTACACTTTTATTTTTACATTGTTATTGTTACACTATTACACTATTCGGATATTAAATTAATTTTAAAATAAAACCACTTTCTATTAAAAAAATACATGAATCAAGGTGTATTAAAAAATAATTCAAAATTTAGATAAGAGATTTAACAACAAGTATATACATACATATATATATATATATATATATATATATATATATATATATATATATATATATATATATATATGTATTTAAAATTTTCCTATAAAACTAGGAGATATTTAATGCACAACTTTTCAAAGAAAAATGGTGCATTAAATACACATGTATTAATAGAGGACAAAAATGTCACAAAAAAATCAGTAAAATTCAAATAATGTATTTAGATACAAATAAGTATCAAAGTTAAGAACTTAATTATTCAACATTTTTTTCTATGTACTTTTTTACAATTAAGTCTAATTGGGTGTACCTCCTTTCCAATTTTCCCTTTGCAAAATATATCATTAACAAAGATTTATGTTAATTGTTAGCTATATTTAAATTAGTCCATCAGCCCATTATTTTCTTGTCCTATCAATTAGTATTACCTAAAATTAAGTGACTATAAATTTTTGCACACACTTTGAACACTTTACATACATATAGGCTGGGTTAGCTCTGCAAAATTTTTTTCAGACTGGGCTGGATAGGGTAAGCCCAAGATATTACCCCGATAAGTTATCAGACATGTCGGGCTTCGAGTAGGAATATGCTACCTACAGCCCAACATATCACTTACTAAATGGTCCTATTGGGCGGGCTGGTCTATTGGGTCTATTGAATGAGCTTTTTTATATTCAACTTCATTTTAAAATAATAAATATTTTTATAAATTATTTTTTTGAATTAAAAGTAGAGTCAAAATTGACAAAAATATTAAATAATTTTATTTATGAATAGGAGAGGAAGTGCATCACAATAGAATGAGCACATTCCAACTAGGTTGACACCTGAGTCAACAAAAGTAATTGTGCATTAAGTGTATTGTGTACCTATTAAAGTTTCAAATTTAATGGTCTAACTTTTTTTCAAAGGAAAGACGGGCGGGTTCTTGGACTAGATTCTAATGAGGTTTTGCGGGCAGGCTAGTGTTGGAACGGAAATTCCAATAATCATTGATAACGCGTATGTATCAAATACAAAAAAATTTCTTTTAAAATCCTACAAAGCAAAACTTGGGTTTACCTTCGAGATCGCTCCGAATTGATCTCGTCTCAATACGAACTCAAAATTTAAAGACAAATACAAAAAGCAGTTTGATGAACCTCACGATCTTCTGTCGTATATCCCCCAAGGCCAAAATTCGGATATAGTGTTGGCTGCAAAGACTTCTGAACTTCTGTCCTTTATCTCAGCCTCTCTCAAAACGTGAATAATAAAGGTAATACTGATTTAGAGAGTTTTGACGTTTATATATAAGTTACGACAGAAACCTTAAGGAGAAATAAGGGTCGGACTTCTAATGAGCTTAGGATTCTTATGTTCAACCCAAAAACAAACATCATACAATTCATCAATAATAAGTCGGTCCACTAAAAATTTATTATTGATCTCCTGAATCTTATCTCAAAATTGCGTTTCGAGCTTCTTATTACTATATGCTTAATAATCTTCATACATTTAAGATTATATATGTTCATTAATTAAATAAATTATTGATAATTATATTTAATTAAATTTTTTTATTACTTGAAACCGTACCACTCAATTTATTTGTCTTGTCGGATAATTAAATCCACATGCAGGACTTGACATGGACACAACTTATGAACTTCTTCAAAAGGATATCATCAACCCATTTAAATATCAGGACGTGATTTCCTTTAATAATTAATTTTCACTATACAAATAATATTGTCTCTCAAGTCACCAAACATATTGACTCAATATAAATGTCACTCTTTGATGAATTAAAATGATAATCATTATATGTATGTGGTACTTAAATATCTTGAGATTAATAATATAAGCGATCATAATAATTATGAGGTATTTATTATTTTATTCAATGAGTAAAAGATAATAGCCTCAACAAGAGTCTGTTTAATACACAAGTGTTCTAGTGTAATAATCTGAAACATTAAACAGTCTCCTACAGTCAAGACAGATCATGCCAGAATATTACATTACAATCATATTGATGTTGTGTCTAATTCCATCTAAAATTGTGAACCTATACTCATATTATATAATGATTCGATAATTTGGTCTTCTGTGTATAAATTGAACTCTACACACTAAATTATCTGCAATATAAAATATAAGACACACATAGATACCATAAATCAAATATAATACAAACATTTTATCCATATAAATTTTCAATAAAATGAAAAAACCAAATTTCTATTAATTAATAAAACGAGATTCACTAAAAAAAGTAAGCTTTTAGTATATAATCCTATCAGCTAGTGGGCTGAGTTTCAAACCGCGTAATAGCTTTGGAGGTAGGCCCAAACCCTCTCTTGAAGGATATTGAAATCGGACTTTGTTGGGCCAACTATTAGTCCTATCGAGTTTTGGGCCTTTTTCTGGGTTGTGTAACAGAACCCATGGGCAACCCAGCCCATAAACACCCCTAATTACATATTTAGATAAATTGTTGATATGTTAGGATTATTTTGTAGTTGTTTAAGCTATGAAAAATGTGAAAACTTGGTTACATAATTAAATAAGTGGTCAATAATGAATCACTTATAGCTTTATTGCATATATAATTTTTTTTTAATGGTATTGATAA